GCGGGGCTGGGGGGGGGTCGAAAACGGGGAGGCTGCCATTGCCGAGGATGCCGAAATTTTGGGAGGTAGCAACGGCGAGCCGAGACTCGTAGAAGGGGCTGAACTTGACGGAGTAGCCGTTGAACGGGGTTTTAAATACTGGCATTGTTAGTCCAATCCAGGTGGAATTTCCGGTGCTCTCTGTGCGTCTGGCGTTTGGATTTTGGGGATCTCACGGTCTGAGACCTTTGGATTTTTTATTTTTTCTTTTCTTTTCTTTTTATCTCATCATTGTTTTGTTTTATTTTATTTTATTATTGTTTTCGCTTGTCATCGTCTTGGAATGTGGAAAGTTCGAAACTAATTTTCATTTTTCCATTTCGGATTTAATCGTCTTTTCTTGATTTTTCATTTTTGTGAAGCATCTGCTCAGCCCTTGGACTGGACCATCGTTATAGGACTGGACTACTCATGTGGGATAAATTGGACTAACCAAGCATGTAAAATGGGCCAGGCCCTAAATCTTCAAGGCCGGGTTCCAGATTTTAATCCATAAATGTAGGCGGGCCAAGTCTGTTTCCATCTTCGTAAATTTCGGTTCAGGCCGTGTCTAACTAATCAAAACTCGTTCTATATATGACAAGAGAGTTGTAGCTCAAGTACTTAATAGCAGTTACTTTTGCATCTTATGTTGAATTCCTCCCTTCCAAAGTAAATATTTTCAACAAAATATTGTCGCGACTCACAAGTACATGTATACATGAACGATTGTCAATCATAAGTTAATGGGTTTGCTTACTACAGTTTACGTATGCATGCATGCACACCGAACTGTAGCGAGCAAACATGATCAACTTAATCTAAACCATACAATCTTTTTCTCAACTTAATTTATGAGTTAAGAACAGCAACATCGCGTAAAGAGGTAGCTTTTAACGTGATAAATGGGATTTTGAATAGCTTGTTTTTGGTCGTGGGGTACCAAACAGGGTCCCGTAATTTTAGAATGGAGTTGAATTTGAAGATGGCGAAATTTGGACCCTTCCGGAACGACTCATTAATGAGGTTTGGATTTGTTCGGCCTCCATTATTATAATATCCCGCAGATAATATAACAATGAACAAATGGATATTAAGTCATTCATAAACATTTCCGAACACAGTTGTTTATTTCTTTTCGCAAAGTTTTGGTAGACTTTGTGGGCTCAGGATTTGAATTTTACCTAATCCACTATTCCAACACATTCACATGCAAAAGAAAAGGAGCATTATAATATTCGCTGCACCCTCAATCTAGTGGATATGTAATTTTTGGGTCCACAGCCTAATAGTTTTGAAATCTGAATTTCCATTTCCAAAAATAAAAAAATAAAAATTCAGAAATTGCAAACACAAAAATGAAACACCATGTATGTACAGGATGGCCCCTCCCCCGTCCATGCCTCACATGTTTGCCGCACTAAGACTAAGGTCTTACGTCTCGCATATTTATTTGGATGGGACACAATTTACTTGCAATTATCAAACTTTATTTTTTACTATAGCACATTATTTTTCTTATATCAAATCAATTGGTCGGCTCCAAGGAAATGTTCTAAAGGTCAATATGATAATATTATGGACATCAAATCAATCTTGGGAATTCTTTTCTGAAGTGATCAAGTTGAATAATTTCTCAGGTGTCATGATCTTATCTTCGGACTTTTTGATTTACTTCCACCAACATCACTAAAGTCTAAATTACGACAGAGAAAAAAAAATTATCGCATTTCTTGTTCTCATCGACCGGCTTCTTCTCAAATATTTTGAATTAAAACATCATTAATTATGTTTTAGATTAGAAATCATCTTTGTAATTTATAAACGAGGTTTATGATCAATAATGTTGTGCATAAAGAAAGCGATAACTGTGAATTATTGATCGGTGTGGGACGTAGTATTTGAAGATGATGTGAAGAAATCCCTTTGCAAATAGGGAAAATAGGCTAATAGATTGACTGGGGTCAAACCACTTCACAAACCTAAAACCAGAAAGGAGATTTAAAGTAAAAGAAGTTATAGTCCATCACACCTCACTTTCCAATGAAAACCACAACCCACATGATCTTGCTTGGGATATTGAAACGTTGAAAGATCACAAAACCACTCTCAAAAAGAAGATTTTCCCTATGCCCCATTTCCTACCCTCATTTCCCAATTCACTCCCAACAAAGCCGATCGATTTCTCTCTCACTCTCTCTTTCTCAATGAACCCCACACACAAGTAGCCTCCACACACACACCTATACTAGTAAATAGTAGTGATCGTAGATGTTCAATCGTGTTTTGACACGTGTAAGGCCTAGACCAAAACACCTGATCATCAGCCAGGGCAACCCTTTGCTGGCAGTCGTGCACCAACATGTGCCACCCATAAGGCCCCCAACCCTTTAAAACCAACCCCAAATTATTGAACTTGGTGAAGGAGAAGGGGAGAGGGATGGGAGAGGGGGCCCTAAATGATGGATCCCAAAAGGCCAAAGTACAGAGTGAGGTGCAATTATTCATGCCATGAATTTCATCCTAAGCAACTCATGAGCAAAAAAATTCCCCCATCACCTCATCTCTCCCATCCCACAAATCAAAAAGATTTCCGTATAGAAAAAAGAGATAAAGAAAAAGCTCTCTACTATATAATAAAACCATCATTTGGTACAATTTTCTTTTAGGTCACTGATACTGATTCCCACTCTCTCATAGCTAGAGCTCTCTCTCTCTCTTTCTCTCTCTCATAGGCAAAAAAACAAAAGGGTTAATTAAAGAGACTTTTCTTTCTCATTCTCTTTCATTCCCTACTTCTTCCTTTCTCCTCCTCCTCCTCTCTCTCTCTCTCTCTATGAGAGAGACCTTTGGAGAAAGAGAAATCAGTAGGAAGAAGCAGCAGCCATGAAAAACACCATCAGGTGCTGCATCTCTTGCATTCTGCCATGTGGAGCTCTGGATGTGATTAGAGTGGTACACTGTAATGGCAAAGTCGAAGAGATCAGCGGAACAATCCGGGCCAGCGAGATCATGAAGGCCTACCCTAAGCACGTCCTCAAGAAGCCCTCCTCATCGCCGTCCGATCACAACGGTGTCGTCCCCAAGATCGTGATTGTTCCACCCGATGCTGAGCTGCAACGCGGCAAGATTTACTTCCTCATGCCAGTGCCTGCTGCTTCCAAGACATCCGAAAAGACATCAGCCAAGACAAGATCGTCGGCAAAGAAGAAAAGGGTTAAGGACACAGAGACCAACACCACCACCAACAACAACGTTGTGATGAACAGCATCGCCATGACCAACCTCTTGATATCTGATCAGTACTTGAGCGAAATACTGTCGGAGAAGCATTCGTCTCAGAGGGATCGGCGGCGAGGACGTGTTGGGGTGTGGAGGCCTCATTTAGAGAGCATATGTGAGTCACCAAGTGATGTGTAATATTGGCGGCTTCATCTTTTCATCATCTTCTTCTTAGTTCTCATCATTCATTTTGAAGGTTCATATGGCCAATAGGGTTGCTGCCTATTATTCTTTCTTTCTACCTCTTTTCCTTTGTTTTTCCCTTTGTTTTTCTTCTGTTTTTTTTTTGTATATATAGGAAGGAACTAATAGAGAAAGAAGAAATAATATGCAACAAGGTCTACTATGAGTCTATGAGGGTGTTAATTATTGTTTTTATTTTGTGGTGGGTTCGCAGGAAAAATATATATATATTTGAAGGCCATAATTGGGTCATAGTTCAGTGAGGTGTGTGTGTTTGTGTTTTAATTGTTTCATGCATTGATTTAATTTTGTAATGTTGGAGAGGGGAAAAGATGAAGAAACTTGTTATGGGTTTTGGTTTTTGCTTAGTTTTTCTTCCTTTTCTGTGGATGAAGGAGTTCATTATCCAAGGGAAAGCTTTTGAGAGAGAAACCAGTTCTCCATGTTATCACATATATGGAATGAAATTTAAAGTTACAAATAAGGTGATTGTGATATGATTATTGCAATATATTATCTAATAATTTACCTTTATGTCATACAATTTCGTCAAGAAAATGAAAATGAAATTCGCACAAGTGTCGGTAGTCCTTTTTGTATTGGCAATATTAGTGCAATGATTATTCCAAATCTCCCATTATTGGGAAGTGTTAATATTGCATAAATCTCATGTGGACATCGATTCTTCGAAAATTAACTACGATAATAAAATGTTATAGAAACATCTATCGCTCGTATTTACTGATTATGTTATTAATCACATCTTTTGCCATACACAAGACTTGTTGAGTTCAATAATAAAGTTGGATACACTTCTGATAAAGTATGATAGCACCTTTGATGGGAAAGACATCATCCAAACTCATCATCTGCTTTTTTTTTTTCTTTCTTTTTCCTTTCCAGATATATTAAAGTTAGGATGAATATATTTGTTAATATGATGATCAAAGTCACATTGAGGTGGATGGAAAATGATAGTCCCCACACAAAGTTTTTTTCCACCATGTATAGGATAATGCAAATCTAGCTTGCACTAGCTAACAAGTGGGTATATGGCATGTCTTTAAGCATTGTTCTCTTAGAGAATGATTAATTAGATATAGATGGTGCCAAGGGCATCCTGTAAAGGTAATCACAGTAGGGTTTGACCCTTTTTTTTCACATTGGCTGGTGGCAGATGGCTGAGCCTTTGATGAGCAAACCCATGTTCTGATCCCCCTCTCCTATGAATTTTCTTGACACTTGACAGTCCCACCATCTGGGGCCAACCAAAAAAAAAAAAAAAAAAAGGTGTGACAGAGTTCAGATATGATTGAAATATTATCTCATCCAGTGGTTCATCCATTGGCACATGTCAGATCGCAGTAGGTTAATCAATTGCACCCATATACATCACAACAATATATAATACATACCATACATAAATCAGAAACTTCTAACTCGAGATCATGTATTCGAATTTCTCTTCCCCAATATCGTTGGTATATAAAATTTTTTTATCAAAATTCAATATAATACAAGTCTATAGTGGAATAACGCCTGATTGAAGTACTACCAAGTTTACTATTTTTGTGGGGAGAGTGTGTCATGGAAGAAGTGATCACTCACTATCTTTGCACAAACCTAACTTCCTGGACCTTAGTACATGTTTTGAGATTTTAAAGCAAAATTATTGAAGGAAAGGTACATGACTTAAATGTGAAGATATATGGTTGGAAAAAAAAAAATCTTCTGATACTGTACTTGTTAGGGAGAAAAATAGAATAATAAATCAGACAAAGACCTATCAAACCAGTGTCAATATTTAATAAAACCATATCATCAATATATTTATAAAAGCCTAATAAGAAAATCAAACCCATCATTTGGAGTTGATTATATATGGCAAGATGATTTAAACAACTAATTAAAAAAAAAGAAATTGCTACCAGAAGAAGCTACAAAAGCTACCAACTTTCTAAAACTCAATTCTTAAATTAATGTGGGCCATTTCACAAAAAAATAATAATAATGTGGACCATATAGCAATAAGCCTATGCCCATAAACCAGAAGATCATAAAGACTAAAGAAAATGATATTTTAGTATTCTTTTATTGTTGCAGAATAATATATAGAAATGGGGAAAATGCACAGAATGCAATTCTTTCCTCTTCCTCTTATTGAAGCGGCGCTTCTCACACTTTTCATCGATTAAAATATAACAAGAAACAAAAGGGCCGGTCACTTTCTCCACCTTTACTTCCATTTCTTTCTGACATTTTGTATTTATTTTATTGCATTTTAATTGTTGTATTCCTTTGGGAGTGCTTTTTGGGTAAATACCACGAGGTGTCTCTACACTCGAAGGATGAGATTAATCCCCGCTTGGAGTTCGGCTTGCCTCTTACCACAAAGTACTTCCAACGAGTTTCGAACTCTTGTAATTGAGGCACCAAGTAGCTCGCCAGCTGGAAGTGGCAGTTTGCTAACTGCACCATATCTTGTGGTTGTTTAGAAGCGCTTTTGTAAGGGATGAAAGCTCTTTCAACCAACCACAAGCGCATCTGATAGCATTTGGCAAAAAAATTTAGAAGTTCTTTTTGAAGAAATACCTTACATGTGTTGCACTTTGATTTCTTATGAAGATTTCAACATTTTTATAATGAAAGCACTTTTACTAGAAACACTTATGAGCAGAAATACTTCTTAGAACCAACCCTTATTTTCTTGATCAGAGAGCTTCCATTGAGGGATCCCTTAAATAAGCTTATTTGAGGGACACCCCTTGTAGGGCCCACTCCGGATTGTATTTCACTAATCCAAACCGTCTATTTTGTAGATACACATTCAAAGATCATCTCTACAAAAAATCACTTGAATCCGATATCATTTGACCATTCAATTGAGTTATTGAAATTTTAGTACTTTCTTGAAGCACCGTGTTCATTGATTTTGTAGGACACAATTGGATGTCGAAACGGTTTCCGATTTGTCTAATTTTTTGTAAGGATGATCTTTAAATGATTATCTAAAAAATAGATGGTTTTGATCATTGGAAAAAAAATTGTAGGGTACCCTAAGGGGCGTCCCTCAAATAAAATTATTTGAGAGATCCCTCAATAGAAGGGGACTGTTTCTTGATATACCCATTGCATACAAACAAAGTATTAGTACCCACACATACATGTGTAGGAAAATTATTTTTGTGTGTCTTAATTTTCCTTTTTGTAATGTTCATATATTTGACACGTGGACACGTACAACTCGTTGAATATTGTTGTCTGCAAAACTCCGACTTTACATGTGGCAGATTTCACCTACTTTGCTCCGCCAGGGACATTAAAGCTTTGCTTGGTGCGTGTGTGTCATTTTTTTTTTTTTTGGTTTGAACCACGAGGTGGTCCTGGATGGGCCCCAACTATGGGTGGCACCTTTAAGCCTTAACCACAACCCAGACTAATCCCCGCTCACACCGGGTCGGCCCGTAAGGGGTAAAGTGCTGGCCAAAGTGGTGACTCCATACGAGAGCAAGGATCGAACCCCTGACCTTCTCTTAAGGAATGAGAGTGCCGAACCACTCACACCAACCACCTTGGTTGCGTGTGTGTCATTTTGAGTTACGAAAATGCATGAGTTTGTTTATTTAATAAGAAGAAAGATTCTTTAGTCATCACGGGGAAAAAAAAAAGAGCAATCTTATTTTACACTACTAAGAAATTTCTTATTCGGAAGAAGTTCATATAAAACTACTATTAAGCGTATTATGAAGCTTCTTAAGGAGTGTGAATAACGTTTCTCTTAAACAAACAACTACAAAAATAATATTCGCTTCTATACAACACAAAATATAAAATAATCAGAAGAAAGTAGCAAGTAAAGTTTGAAGGCCTTTTTTTGTGTGACCAAAGTGTTACAATCCATGGCGTGACGCTATGTGTTTTATATAGCTTCAAGAACATACATTTTTTTTGGATAGTTGAGAGCCGAAGAGTCTCTAGGACAACTACCTCTCTTGGGTCAAAATTGTTAGATGTAATGGGATTCATATATATATATATTATTGTTTTTGCAACAATGACGTGATGAAAGATGCAGAGACAACAGAATATGAAACATGTTACATGCAAGCAAGGGCGGAACCAGAAATTTTTCAACGGGTGGGCTAGCTAAAGTTATTAGCTTTAAAATTTAGTGATTATTTTTTTTTGGTACTTACAATTTCTATAGTCTTTCTAGAAATAAAAGTAAACATTAAATCATATAAATCAAGCTAGTTCATAGCTCCATAGACTAATTTTCAATAAGTTTTAACATAAACCAAATAGGGTTTAACACCATAGTGGATTGAACATCTAAGATTTTTTTACCTAGATTGATCTTAGGTTCTTTCATGCATTCATATTATAGATGAAAAGTTATTTTATGTAAAAATATTGACTAAGTATGAAAAATGGGTTTTCGAAATAATCATTTTCTTAAGATAATTTTTGGCGGCTTTTATTCCTTACACATCAAATAAGAAAACTTGATTTTATGGGATTTTAGTATGAAGTATATATTGACTTAATGAGCCATTATTTTTAGACTAAATCGTATTTTGCACTAAAACCGATTTTTCATATTTTGATTTAGTGGGAATTTGATTTTCTAGTATTTTTATTTGAATCCAAATGGAGGGTACTTCCTTATTTACATTGTAAACTTAAGTAAATGGAGTAATATAAAAATAAATAAAAGTAAAATGACAAAGACATTTACTTAAATGTTGAAAATGGAAATAAGGTAATCTGTACAGCGCCACTAACTGGGCTAATACTGAAAATAAGTTAAATATATATATAAGTTTTATATTTTTTTCTTAAAAAACCACACTGGGCTACAGCCTACTGTAGCCCTTAGTGTGGTTCCGCCCCTGCATGCAAGTTCTTCTCCTCTTTGAAGGATTTATACCCCACATTATAATGTTTTGAAACTTACCACACGATATTGTGGATTTAGTATGATTTTCCATGTAATTAGGTCATGTGATGGGCATGACATGGGAAGAAGCCTCCACTTTAGACTCTAGTCTAACATATGGTTTTTGTTAGGTATTTTCTTCCCTAAAAGTTGGTAGAAAGTTGACATAACTTGTCCCTTACGTACAATGTAAGTTGTAAGAATTTCCTAAAACTCTTGTGCTTTTGAAGTTGGGCACGCAACTTTCCATGTTACTTCGACAATGAGCCAATTATATGACTCGTCTTTCATCTCATTGAAATTATATTGTTTGGTTTATATGATGTATAGACAACAAGTTGCCATTTTAAGAAATCAATTTTTTTACTAAAAAGAGAAAAGAAAATAAGCTAAAATAGAGATAAATAATAAACTTCGAGTGAATAATTTCAAGCATATAAGATCTGACGGATTTGAAGTTGAGTTGTAACGAATTAAAGAGGAGTTTAGAGAGCAAAAAATAATAAAAATAAAAGATTTGGCTTAATCTGATTTGATAATTAACAAACAATACGAGATATTCCTCAAACTTATCCAAATGGATTGTTGTACAGAAAAAGGAAAAAAAAAACAAAGGTTTATAGCAAAAGAGATTTGTTAGTGAGTGTTACTGTCGAGTACGGTAAAAATAAACGAGAGGGGGGGGGGGAGGTATACGGGGGGAGAAGGCGCGCGGCGCGGAGCCGGTAAAATCGAAGCCACTAAAGCCTTAATGACATCGACAAGACCTCACGCGCTCATCCCGGCGACCTTCCTCCTACACTCGCGGCTCATGCGGCCGGCGCTCTCCCCCCACCGACGCGACCCCTTTACTCCCTAACTACACCCACTCTCTCTCTATTCCCACCCACGCGGACCAACCCCCCCCCCCCCCATTCCCACC